AACGGTCATGGTTCATGTGATGATTATCAGGTTCATGTTTATTACCAGTTTCATGTTCAGGTTATGTATATACCAGGATCATGATATTGCAATTATTTTCACTGTTTACTTTAGTATGAGTTTCTTCGGAGCACAGTGTATTAGTGCTCACGCCCCCACGTTTTTCATGTTTTTCAGGTCACAGAGTTGGAGCCGAGGAGTGAGCGGGCGACCGGTTCAGGACATTGTTTATATGTATATATTGTGTTTTGGCTACACTGATGTTTCCGCTACTGTTCAGTTTTTACAAACCAGCTTTTGATGCAACACTAGTCGATTAAGTTATTATCTAACCGTTTTATTATTAAAATTAAAATTACAGTTTTCAGAACAAGTCAGATTTTACGGTAGCACCCCGAATCAGATTTCGCAAAAAGAAATATTTTATTTATTTAGAAAATTTGCGAAAAAAGCGCACTCTGTAATTCATGAAATAGCGGGGTGTTACAACTGGTATCAGAGTACGTTTCTGCGTCTCTGAAAAGTTTTATAAGTCAGAAATTTTCAGAAAACCTGAACCGTCACGCTCATGCCTCGCCGACTACAGGTAAGTGTCGATTTATGTTTTTCAGTTATAAACATATTACTTTGTCTATGCTCAGAAATTTATTAATCATGACTTAGTTAAGATGCTCGAATCAGGTTCAGACCTTAGAGATCAGTGTACTCAGATATAACTCTAGATTTCCTCAGGATTTAAGTCAGTATTTTCCAGCCATATTTGGCAACTCGTCAAGAGATCTGTGTACTTTAGTAATCAGTTAGAGTATTTTTCATGTGTTCAATAATATCGAACTTTTTCAATGATCAGATGCCGCCCCGTAGGGAACCCGATCGCCCGGTTCTTCCCCCAGGACACAGTAGTCGCACAGTTTCGCGACTCTCATCCTGAGCAATTCTCCGGTCAGGGAGATCCCCGTATTGTGGACGAGTGGATTCAGGGCCTTGAGTTGATTTTCGAGGTCATGGATTGTCCAGATCAATATCGCGTTATATGCGCACAGCTTCAGTTAACCGGTGATGCCCGACTCTGGTGGAATGCCTACTAGAGCATGCGTCCCGGCGAGAAAGCGGGTTGTACTTGGGAGAGGCTCAAGGAGATAATCCGCGAGAAGTATTACCCCACGTATTACCGAGCAGAAATGGAGCGTCAATTCCTGTCGCTCAAGCAGGGTACTCGTTCTGTGGATGAGTACGAGAGGGAGTTTACCAGACTTGCAGCTTTTGTTCCGGATTTGGTGCGTACGGAGGCACAGAGGGCACAGCGCTTCATCGACGGGCTTTATCCAGCGGTCCGTCACAACGTTGTAGGTCACGGGACCCAGAACTATACTCGTGCTGTTTCAATTGCTCAGGAGGTGGACGCCAACATCCGGAGGGAGGCAAACCGCGATCGTTCTCAACCATCCGCCCCCGCCCAGTCATCCACAGCTCCACCAGCTGCCCAATCGTCGAAGGAGAAGAAGAGGAAAGGAAAGGGCGCTCAGACCGATAGGAGGACCCGACAGAGACAGCAGCAGATTTCACAGTGCCCCACTTGTGGACGACTTCATCGCGGAGAGTGTCATATGGGTCAGGATATTTGCTACTACTGTCACGAGTCCGGACATTTTGTTAGCCGTTGTCCTATAAAACTTCAGCAGCAGCCACCACAGCCTCCTCAGCAGCAGCAGCAGCAGCCCCGTCAGCAGCAGCAAAGGGGCAGACAACAAGCCTGAGTCTATGCAGTTGATCAGGCCGAGGCCGAGCAGCATCCAGGTACCATATCAGGGATGCTTAACTTAATAATGTTCCAGTTTTCGCTTTATTCGATACTGGAGCAATGCATTCTTTTATTTCACGATGATGTCTTGATGCCATCGGAGTTAATGCCATTACCGCTGTCGATCCTCTCGATGTGAGTTTAGCCTTGGGACGAAAGATAGTGACCACAGCTAAAGCTTCATATCTCAGCCTGTCCATCGGTGGTCGTATATTGTCTACCGATGCGTATGTTCTCGAGATGAGGGACTTTGACCTCATTCTCGGTATGGATTGGCTATCCAACTATTATGCAGACATTCGATGCCATGACCGGGAGATTACCCTTTATCTTCTGGGAGACGATTTGATTACTTTCTTTGGCACCAAGAATCGTTCCTTACCTCATGTCATTTCGATGGCGAAAGCCACCAAGATGCTGCGACGAGGCAATTGTCAGGGTTATCTCGTGAGCCTTGTCGATGATTCTCAGAAAGCACGATCACCTCACGACGTTCCTATCGTTCGTGAGTTTGTGGACGTGTTCCCAGACGAACTTCCAGGAGGACTGCCTAACCGGCAGGTAGAGTTCTCTATCAATCTCATAGTATCCAAAGCCCCGTATCGTATGGCGCCGAAGGAGTTGCAGGAGCTTAAGGCTCAAATTCAGGAGCTATTACGACTCGGTTTCATCCGACCGAGCGTGTCACCTTGGGGAGCACCCGTTCTCTTTGTCAAGAAGAAGTACGGTTCCATGCGCATGTGTATCGACTACCGGGATCTTAACCGGTTAACGATCAAGAACAAGTATCCGCTTCCCAGGATCGACGATTTATTTGATCAGCTGAGGGGAGCCTGTGTCTTCTCAAAGATTGATTTGCGTTCAGGCTACCACCAGCTGAAAATCAAGGAATCGGATATTGCTAAGACCGCTTTCCGTACTCGTAACGGCCATTACAAGTTCGTCGTCATGCCATTCGGCCTCAGCAATGCTCCAGCAGTTTTCATGGACTTGATGAATCGTATTTTCTATCCCTACCTCGATCATTTTGTTATCGTTTTCATTGACGATATCCTTATCTACTCGAAGAGCCAGAAGGAGCACGAGGAGCATCTGAGGGTTGTTCTCGAAACCCTCAGACGAGAAAAGTTATATGCAAAATTCTTCAAATGCGAGTTCTGGCTCCAGCGAGTATCCTTTCTTGGCCATGTCATTACTCAGGCAGGTATCGAGGTAGATCCTTTCAAGGTCTCAGCTGTTCAGAACTGGTCGACACCGAAGAGTCCGTTCGAGGTTCGCAGTTTTCTCGGTTTAGCTGGCTATTACCGCAGGTTCATCGAGGGCTTTTCC